AGAAACACGCTGGCACAACTGCCAACTTGCAAGCAAACACTCGTTCAGAAAAACCGGATGAAACTGCAAATGTAAGATTAGGCAAAAATAAATAATTAAAAAAGACGAACAAAAATCATTAGACAAACACCTCACGAACATGTCATCATGAGCAGTCCTCCTTCCTGAATCCTAACATGTTGGCTACATGTCGCTGAGCTCCAACAGACCGACATGAATCATCCTCAGTGCAGTTTTTTGGTTTTGTGTTTTTTTTTTTTTACCTCCAGACTGCCGCGTCTCCCTCAGCACACAGGCCGGCGGATCAAACACATCCCCCGGTCAGGCTGTCCTGGATGTCTCGGTGTCCGTCCGCTGCTGGTTGACTTGTCCCCGGCTTCTTCTTCTTCTCCTCCTCCTCCTCGGTGTCTCTGCTCTACGATGGAAATTGACACATTTTACTTCACTGCAGCAGCAGCGGCTCCAGCGGCACATGCTCAGACAGACTCACGCAGTTCTTGCATCTTTGGTTAACCGTTTGTTTACCTCGGCTCACTGTGCGGACATCCAGGCTGTTTACCGGGCTACAAGTTGCTGGAAGCCCTCCCGTCCTGTCAGCCCGGATCCGCAGGAGGAGCGGCTGGATTACATGTTAAAAACACGCAGGCTTAATGGATTGTAAATGACTCGCAGTAACAGTTTAGCTACTCCTATAATATACTGAGCTACAAACAGATAGCAGGCTTCTTAGAAAGAAAAAGCTCATATGTAAAAAAACAAAAAAGAAAGAAAGAAAGAAAAACAAACAAAAAAACGTTAATTTGTTAGTGTTTAGCTAGGTGAGGAAGTACCTGCTAATTCAATGACAAGCTAGCTGTCTGCTAGCTTAGTTTAGCATAATAACTACGAACAGAAGTAGCTAGCTTGTCTTTGTCCACAAACTTCAAATTTGAAACCCACAAAAACTCACCAGTCATCTCTCCTTTTTATGACCTGAATTTGAAGTCAGAAGAACCACAGTTTATCTTTTAACCACCATCATGCCCAGATGGTCGAGTTGCCAGGCAACAAGCAGTTTTCAGGGAGGCTAACTACTAAGCTAAGCTAACTTTGGCAAAAGCTAAATACTTTTAAGTTCGCAGTTAGTTTAGCATAATAATGGGAAACAGAAACAGCTAGCTTGGCTCTGTCCACAAGCTACCAACTCCAAAAGCTCTAAAATCACAAAAGCCTGCCAATTAAACCATAGCCTCCCCTATTTAATATAAGTATAAAGAAGACAGTTTGCTTTAACCGCCATTGTGCTGCAGTTTGTCATGTTGCCAGGCAACCAGCAGTTTTCAGTGAGGCTAACTGATTAAGCTAAGCTAAAAGAGAGTGGGATTCAGTTTCTCATCTTGCTCTTGTTTTACACGATTTCAGTGTTTAAAACAACGTGCTTCTTTGCAGTTGCTGCAAAACTAAACTAGAAACAAAAACAGTTGATGCACAACAGCCAAATAAAGCCGAAGTGTGTGTATCAACGAGCCACAGCTAGCTTTGGCAAAAGTTAAAATACTTCTTAGTTAGCAGTTAGCTTAATTTAGCTACATTCACAAATTGCAGACTCCAGAAGCTCTAAAATCACAAAAACTCACGAAATGAAGCACTTTCTTTCCTATTTCTTACCTAAATTCGTAGTCTGACAAAACGTTTGTGCTTTACCCCGACATAGGGCTGCACTGGTCGTGTTTCTAGGCAACCACTGACATTCAGGAACGCTAACTGTGAAGCTAAGCTACCTCAAATGAGACTTTTAATGCAACTCTTGTTATACACATTTCAATGAGTTAAAAAAAAAAAAAAAATTCATTTGCAGTTGCAGCAAAAAACAGTTGAAGCAGGAGAGCCAAATTCAGCTGAAGCGTGTGCCTGAGATAGCCGCAGCTAGCTTTGGCTACAGCTAAATACCATTTCTCCCTTGCTTTGTCCTGTAATTTCAATTTATAGATATTGATGAGCTAATATCTTGGTAACTTGTTTATTAACCCATATAAATAAGGTAGCAGCTACAGTCTATTGGGTAAATCTGGTAAAGGCAAATGAAAACAGGCTCGTTTGTTGGGCTAAAAGATACCAGAGCTAACCAGAGTAGCAGCAGCAGCTACACAGTGGACATTCAAACTCAGTGTATATTTACAGCTACTTTAAATGATATATTTAAATATATTATGTTGTAAATTCTATTAATTCCAAGCTATTTGTTATTAAATGGGTGATTAAAATATGATTAAAAAATGATTTTTACTCATATTCCCATAAGTTCTATTATATTGGAGGATCTTGATTGACACATTAAACTTGATCAGGTAAATTTGTATAATAATTTGGAATCTTAAGCTTAATATATTTGAACTTGTTGAGTAAAGTTGTAACACCAATCATATTTCTCCAGTGGCAAGTGTTTTGACTGCTTTAAATGTGCTACATGTAAATAATGGTGACTTGACCTGTTCTGATGTATCGCATTTCTGAGTCTGTCGTCTTTTTTATTTTAACTTAATCTTAATTGTTATGCTGCTTCTTGGGTATCCTGCTTTTGCTCTGTCTGTTAAAGCACCTTGCAAACCCTTGTTTTTCAAAGTAGGATGTAAATTATCATCATTGTCACTATCAAAGTGCAGAAGCAGAAACATGATGGTAAAATAAAATAGGAGTTATATCTTACAAATGTCATGTAACTTGAAATTTTAAGCAAATTTCCTTTTAAAACTCTCAAAACAAAAATTCCCATCATATAACACAAGTGTGTGGAGCCGATCGACCTGCACAGCCTGCTGCACTCTGACGTCTGTTTATAGCGAAAACATATTAAATTCTCAGAAAACATACACAGCACACAAACATCCATTGTTTCTCGTTCCTGTTGAGACTTTTGAACCTCCGAGGAACATTTTGCGTGCTGCTTTCCCACATTTCCAGGCCTTTGTCTTCACCCCCTGTTTGTTCTCTGGCCTTCTAGTGGGATGAATATTTCAGGAGTTTGAAGAGGTGTGAACCCTCACACCTATCCAGTGACACCTGCGCCAACAATCCCGTCTCTTTGCATGTGTCTTTGTTTTCTTCAAAAAGGCTGATACTCCCATAATGAATCACCGTAATTCACCGTCAGATACTGGCGTGAGCAGAATACAACCAGGTGCTGCGGCGTCACGTGGTGCGGCTGCTGTAATCAGCTACAAGCGAGAGATTTAGTTAAGTATGTACTTGCCACAGGGTGTCGGAGGACTAATTTAATGCATGCAAAGCTCCCTTTTTCCATTTTATGTACTTCTCAATAAACAAGTGTGTTTTAAGTGGTGTCCAGGATCATATACTTGAAGCAATCGAAGCAGCAGTGTACAGAACTGCTGCAGAATGTAGGATTTCCAGTAACAGCTGCAAGCACGATAACAACAAAAGGAGCGTTGTGTATAATAGTTAAATGAGATGATATAATGTAATACTGGATGCAACTGAAATATTGACCTCCATTCTAAGTGGTCCTTGAAACCCCCGTAACAAGACTTAAATGGTCTCTCAGCGATTTAAAAAAACATTATTATAGTAATTTTATCTGTTTGCCCGGGCAGATGTGATTTTAACTGGACGTTAATGATAGATGCTGAAATATCAAATGGACGCCACGAGGCCTCGTAGAAAATCTAAATCATTATGTCGGCGACCAGCATCGATCAGAACGGATGAGTAGATGTACCTGCAGCTACTACAAATATCAAGTTCCTCCGATAGAGAAATGACCCTGAAGTTCCCATCAAGACAAGCTGGGAGGCTTCAAAAGCAGAAAATAAAAAGCGGCACAATGTGTCTGCGTCCCGTCTGACAGCTTGATGGGAAGCAAAACTGAGAGAAATTGTCCAACTAGACATTCAAAAAGCAGACAGGATTACATCTGCAACGCACTAAATAAAACATGTCAGAATTTTATGTCCATTCAGTTTCTCGTCACAGAGCTCACTTCACTGAATAATGCTTTTTTTAAACCTCATTACTGAGATTGTAAGCAAATAAAATGTTCTTTTCAACCTTCAGTCTTCTTTTTACCTTGCACATATTCAGCTAGAACACATCAGATAGCTCAGCTCAGGAAGACCTCTGATACCAAGAAGTGATTCGATATTACTGATAAATGCTTCTCAAATTTAAATAAAATGCATGTTTCACCGCATGAAAGTTATTTTAGTTTGAAATTCAGAGATTGCTGAGGCCATGTTTGAGAGGGAAACAGTGGATTTGAACACACTGACACTAAAAGTGATCACTTTGTGGCGGGTAGCTGCACCTAATTAGGTCAATAAGACTCTGGTGAATAGGATTATACAGGTTTGAGTATAAATAACGGTTGTATGTGTGCCTCAGTTAAAGCTGTAATCAATGTGGAGCTGCAATTTTCAGGCAAGGAAAAAAAAAAAATCAGATGTTGAGCCGGTTAAATGATTCTGATATTCTTACTTTTGTTGCCATATTTTCCTCAATAGTAAACACTGTGTGCATGTATTATATAATCCACATATTCAGTTGTTGGATGTGTCACTCAAAATCAAGATTTTTTTCAAAAGTTAGTTTAAATGAGGAGTTTTTCTTTTAAAATCCTTTGTTTTTACTACAACCAGTGGTGGGGATTGATTCATCCTCCATCACTTTCATTTATCTTTTGCTTTTCTCCCAAGATTTACCTTCTTTTCCCAAACTGGGTACATGTGCTGACCAGTTGAATTGAGACTTTTAGATGTGAATTTTGTCTACTATGATAGAAATTTCCACTTTACCTAAAAATGTTGTCAGTACAGGTATGAAGCATTAGATAGATACGTTAAAAATGACCGTCTAGGATGTCTTGGATGTTGGTATTGTTCAGTATTTTCCTGTAGCAGCTGATATAACCACTGGTGTTTATATCTGTCATGCAGCAGATTAAAAAAAAACAAACTCTACGAAGACAAAGCCACGAATAAATGTAAAATAAACACACTGACAAGCGATTGGACATGAAAGCAGAGCGCATTCCTGCTTTTTAGTTGTTTTTTTTCAGATGTTTGCTTACAAAACATGTTTCTGTTTTAGGAATGAAAAGTTTCCGTCATTTTGCATATACCCCGTTTGCATACCTGTGGGAGTAAGAAAAACAGGTAAACACCAGCTTGAAAATAGAACATTCAGTGCAAGTTTTGACACCTTTCACCTCCGTGCACAGACTCCAAAAAGAAGAGGGAAAAAAATCAATTATCTTTTTTTTTTTTTTAATTACATTATCGAAGCATAGATGCATTACTTGTGAAAAAGGTAGAAAAAACACCAAGTCTTTCTCAATAAGTTAAACCTCTCTGGCCGAAGAACAGGGGCCGGCTCACACAACAGAAATTTTTTCCTGTAAAGCATTCAAATTCAGTGAAACGAAAAAAAAAAAAAGACAAGTTGAACTCATGTCGCTGAAATAAAAGTGCGTCTCCTTTTTGACTTTAACTTGTTTAAAAAAAAAAAAAAAGAAACAAAACAAACAAAAAAAACAAAACAAAACACAGAAGATGCAAGTGGCTTATGTTACTTTCCTTCCACCCTTTTCCACAGGGTTTTTTGCAAGCATTTTTCATGAAACTTCACAAGTTCCATCGTTTGATCGACAAACAATAAGCTGAGTTATAGTTGGTAAAAAAAATTATAATAACAATAACAATAATTACAAAGACAGTAATAACGAGAAATGTAAGTAATAAACACAGTCCTGTACAGTCAGGCTCATCTTCTGATTGACCGCAGCCAAACTGATCGATTATCGATTGGTCTTCAGCAGTCTGACAGACCCGTGCTGACTGAAGAAAGGTGGCCAATGCAGTCGTCTCCTCTCAGCTTCAACTTCCCTCAGCTGCCCTCGGTTATGGTTTAGTGGAAAAAGCCTTTTCCATTTAATGTCCCCCTCTGCTGTAAAAAACAAACAAAAAGAAAAAACACAAGGAAAGGTTGTTACGAACAGCTGTCTTGACTACAAATGACAGTTAAGTGTTAAATGCATCTTACTCAGCATGATTAACTGTGTCCTCTATTAACCTCAGTAGCAATTCACAGCTGCTACACATCTAATATCTACTTTATTTCTCTACATTCAAATGACACCTGCAATAACTGAGTTGTTTTTGGCCACCTTGGGGCAGCAGAAACAAGCACAATATTGACACATTATCATCTATTTAGTTGGTTGGTTGAACTTGTTAGCAAAAGGTTGCTCATTTACACATAAAGCAGAAAAACATACTCATTCCCCTGGAGTCGAGCTTCTAGCCTCTTTTTCAGCTGCTGTCTTCTGAGGGAGATCGTTGTCTCTTTAGCTGCTAAATGCTCCACTGTTCTCTCTAGCTAGCTGCTAACTAACTAAGCCCTGCAGAGGATAGTTAGAGGGGCTGAGAGGGTCATCAGTTTCCTTCACCTCTGTCCAAGAACTGTTCCAGAGCTGCTGAACATTGTCAGGGACTCCTCACGCCTTCTCCATAAACTGTTTGAACTGCTGCCATCAGGTAAACGTTTCCGGAGCGTTAAAGGAAGAACCTCCAGACTGATCGACAGCTTCGTGCTACCAGCTGTCAGAATGCTGAACTGCTGATCTGGATATGCAACCACTTCTGTATTTAAATCCCTTTAAGTTACTGGATCCTGAAGGAACGCTCTCCCATCTTGTCTGTACTGCTGTTGATGTACAGCAAAATGACAATAAACTAGATTTTTTTTGATAACTGTCTGTTATTTTGGTGCTGAGAAGATCAAGAGTTTTTAGAGCTCTGCTGCTGTAGCAAAAATGATGTTACGAGTGCAGTAAACCAACAATAAAGTTCAGGCTGATCAGTTAAATAATGCTGAAAGTCCCTGTAAAGCAGAGGGAGCAGCAGGCTGTTTCTCATGGCTACACTATAATTTTAAACTTTATTACTGGTATTGGAGAGGTATTGATTGCAGCTGCTTTAAGGGTGCTTTCGTGACTAGCATGTTTAGTGCAACTCAGTTATAATCGTCTGTGTTTGCCCATTTAATGCAGTTTGTTGAGGCCTTGTGGACATGCAACGACAAGGATGTGTTGTTATTATTTGGTTTCGTAGTCCACTGGGCCGACTCTGTTCCACACACATGTAATAAATCATATCTACGTCTTCCACATCGTCACACCACTGCACTTGTAGCGCAGCCGCAGATTGTGGGCTGCATGAGGAAGCCCTGGGGGAGTTTACTTTTGCTGACTCTGGGAGGTGACAGTAGAGGACTGCATTGAAACTGGGACCCCGTGGGATTCCGCGCAAATCTGGCAGTCGTGGGTGGTTTGAACTGTGCTGTGGGTGGGAGAGGGCGGTCAAACAATACAGAGGTGGGATTTACTGCAACTAGAAGGCTGGGGTCGACAGATGAAGCTGACATTAATATTAAAGCACGTTTTTACAATATAAAAGCACAGCAAGGCAAGTTTGACGTGAATAAATTTGTTAGTTTTATTGAGAAAGATAGAAAAGAATTGGACTTTGCGGTCACTAATGTGTTTGATATTCAAACAACAATCCATGTAAGTGTTAACATACGGCAGGTCCCTCTGAGTCGAGGTGACACCTGCTTTAATCATCCACGTCATAGTCATAGACTGTATAAAAGATGGACGTAGCTACCGTGACGTCATCCGTTGGTTTCTGCACTGAGAAAATGAAGCCAGGGTTTTGCTACTTCCTGGTTGACATCTTGGATTTTTGGAGCCAGTGACGCAAAAATTGTCGGAGGTAGGCGGAGTCATAGGGGCAGCGATTGGTCAGACGGATTGAGAGGCGGGCCCTCTCTGCCCGCCCACATTTACCGCCTTCTGCTCGCTTCGTCCCTTGCCCCGCAAAATGTTGACGACTTTTTAAAAATTCAGTATTGATTTATTTTCAGATTGGCCACCTGATCTCTGGACTTGACCTTGAAAACTAATGAAAAAAAAATAATCCTGAGCTGTAGGAATGCAGTATTTCATGATCTGGGATCACTTCTTTTCCAATTCCCGTCTATGGGAGCCAGGGCTTTTTGGAGCCAGGACTAGCGGACGTAGTGATATTGTAGGTTTTTGACACTTCCGGGTTGACTTCATTTTTCAGGGCCGGTTGCCACGTCCATCTTTTATACAGTCTATGGTCATAGTAAACGCTCCGTCGAAGATAAAGCACTTTATCTTTCACATATTAAACAAAATACTATTGAGAAACTCAGAGGGTCTTAAGCCACTTCCAAGCACATGAAAATGAAGAAGACCAGAGGTGTGCTGAGCATGTTTCCTATTCAAACTTCTTTAACTCATCCCACAAAGCGATCCAGAGATGAGTGTGTTGTATGTTTTAATCTTTGAGATGTAACTCCCTCACTGTATCCATCCTCCGGTAATAACAGGGTAAAAAATCCTGATCTGTTCATCATCATTTACGACACGCCGTGTTCACTCAAATGGTGACCGGGGCATTTATTTATCTCAGCTGCAGAAGGTAAGAAGACGCGCCACATGCGACGACAAGCTTGACGGGATTAAAGGGTGGCGAAGCAAAGTGGATCAGCATGAATCAATCAAGCACCACCACTGGAAAGTAATAGTGGTAAAAATAGCATGTTTATATTGTTTAATGTATTAAAAGAAAGCGGCACAAATGAGCTGTGTTTGAAGGAGTTTAGTCACCCGTGTTTTTTTCAACCTGTATTTTAGGGGCGGCATTTATTTGTTCGTCTTGCCCACATCCATCCATCCATCCATCAGGGATCCAGTTTTCTATTGACAAAGTTTTTCCTCGAGGAAATACGGCATACAGTGCAGCTGCAGTCTTCACTAATACTGACTGTAATCCATTATTGCTTTAGAGCACTTTGTGACACCAGAGAAGGAAGATAAACACCCCAAGTTCAGGGCAGATGTGCTGCTATTCTCCAGAATTTACCCACATGGGTCCACGTAACACTGATGAAGCAGGACGTCGTCATTGTTTGAAAAAAAAATCACAGTAAACAGGTGTGAACGCAGCTGAAATCCCATATTGCTCATTCATTTCTGTAGGTGTTATTTATTACTTTGTAGGTTTGACTTAAGAGCTTTGCTTTATTCATACTAGATTTAAACAATGTCTTCTTTTGTTAGTCATTTGTCTAACTTAATTATTTGTTTTTGAATATTTACTTCATTGAATTGGTATTAATTTGGTTGTGCTTAGAGAAAACTGGATGGAGCTATGAGCCCCTCAGCTTATACGGGTGGGTGGGAAGCCGTGGGGGTGGGGTAAACCTGAGTGGGCCTTTGTTTTTGTTTTTCTTCCACCAGCACAAGAGATGCAGCAAGAGTCGTGACTTTTGTTGTTTTGCTTGCTTGTAATGAATGAACAAACCTTAAGGAAATGAAAAACCTTGTATTGGGCAAAGGGCATCTTTTGCCAGCGTACACTACATCCCAGTGGTGCAGCAGTGGTCATTTGAGCTTAACGTTTACGATTTTAATGATTTTCATTCTTGAAACATGTCCACTACAGTTTTTTAAACCTTGTAGCGAACGTGAGTGCCGATCTTAGTGTAAGAGAACACCACATGATCAGAAAGCTACGACCAAAGAGCCAAATAAATTAAAACCTACATATATTGTCAGAGAAACCTCGCAGCGCTGCGTGTCTCACCTCACAGGGTTTGCAGTAGAGGTCGTTCCCACGGAGCGTTCAGTCCAGTTCGTGTACCTCATCCTGCAGGGAGGCTGAGGGCCGCCCTGCGTCACTCATCCGTTTGGCCATAATGTCCCACTGTGGAGTCAGGGCTTTGGATTTGGTACCTGCACATCAAGAGGAGACTGCAGTCAGTCTGCTGCTACTACAAGGCATACTGAAGGATAATTTTATTCTGCCCCCTAGTGGCTCAATAGAGAACTAACTTCTTTAGTAAATCAGCCAAATGGAAAGCCACACATGAGCAAACCTGCCTTCGTCCTTCAGTACTCGGGCATAATCATGTAAGTAATATACACATAAATAAAATCTCAATCCTCCACAGCACAACTGCCATCAGGCCTCTGTGTTTCACTTCTGTTTCCATCAGATCACCAGCAATCAGATTATTTTATCAATATCTGAAGAGCAGAAAGTAGAAAAGTTAGGTCATGTGGATGTTAGTTTTGAACCTTTCACCCGTCTTTCTAAACATGCTCTTGCTTTGGACAAAAACTAACGGCAGCATGTATTTGTCAAATACCAGTTAATGTGAGATATTCAACAAATAACACATTTTCAACGTTCATTATCATATTTATGTGACTCATATCATCTGACTCATAGTATTTTTTTCAGTTTTTAACCATGTAGTATTTAGTTGCTGTTAACATAAAGTAGTATTTCTATTAATACCCTCACAAAGTCCTATAAGCTATATTCAAACAAACCCAATGTATTTGCTACACCAGGGAGCTTGACATAGTGAAAGACAAAGACTCATTTCATGAACTGCTGATCAATCAGTCCATACTACACACTGATCCACTGCCAAAATCTACAAACTCAATTTAAAGGAAGAGTGCCGTTTCTATAGTTTTGTGTGGATTTAACAAAACAGACAACACAGCAAAATTTAGGGCAACTAGTAGTTGTTGTTTTTGTTTGAACTGAACAGAAGTTTCTTTTACCACTTGGGGGCAGCAAACACAACACTGACACATTATCACGCTGTAGGTTAATATAGAAAACCTGTCATCTTGTATAGACAGCCAGCAGACGCAGAGCAACTTCACCCTTCATCTGAATAACAGTTCAATATTCAGTCCGTTCCAGCTCTGTTTTTGGTCTCTACCAACTCCTGTGGGACATATCTGCCTCCTAAGCTGCTTAAAGCTCCTCTATGTTCACTAGCTTGTTGCTAACTGTGTCTGTTGGCAACTGAAAAAGACAAAACAATGAGGTGAAACTGACTATGAAGCTACGTGAACCTGGGGGAAGCTGAAGATTCAGGTGATCATCACTACAAAGGACCCATTCACATTTGATGCATTGTCATTCATTACAGCTTATTGTACTTCCAGCAGCTGTTTAGCAGAGTTAATACAAAAAAAAATCACCTAAATTAAAAAGGAGGAGCCTGATATCGATAAAGATGCCTGCAGGATATACATTAATCTGTAAATGTAGTGCTCTAATTACATAGCACACCTTCCATTTAATGACTAAGACAAACGAAATTACACAATTTCTAAATAACAACAATAAACAAGCTTGCAGAAACCTTCTCCCATCCTCTGATAAATTACCATGATCTCAAGAACTAAGTCGGTAAGTTGGTAGGCGAAACAAAAAAAATAAAAACTAATCCTTAATCCTTGAGCCTGGCTGATTTCCAACCCAAATCTCCTCCCGGTGTGTTTTTCCCAGCCTGGGCCTGAGGTGGGCTCACAGACCAGTGGAGATGCTCTCCCTCAGGATACACTTACCGAGCCCTCCACGTCCTCCTCCTCTCTGCTGTTACCATGACAACATAGACCGTAGCCTCCAGCTAAAGCAGCAAGGCCGATCCGATCCTCTCGCAATCTCTCTCCCTCTCCTCTCCATCTTTCTCTGGCATATTCTCACTCTCTTGATCTCCCAGTCTGTCTCTACCCCTCTCTCATTTCACAGGGGAGAGGGAAAGTGGGACATAACCCAAAAAAATAAGAGCCCCACACAAACTCTTAACCCTTCGGCAGTGGATCTTAACTATGCGTTGTAGCCATGAAGTGAGCCACAGAGCGCCGACGTGTCTGTTAATTCTTAAGTATTCAAATAATGTCTGCTAAACATTGTTTAGCAAAGATATTAAAGTTTTAATACGCCTGCATAAAGTAAGTTTCTGTTAACGCTGTTTAAGTAATTAAATTGATACTGTAACCATTATGAGAAACAGCAAAGAACATTTTAAATAGCTAAAAGCTAATAAAATAAGCATTATCCCATTAAAAAACATGAGAACGACTACCTTATTGGACCAATTTACGCAAAAACGGAAACAAAAGAACTACAAAAAGGCCATTTCAAGTGATTTGTAAACTGAAATCTCAAGTCCTTAAAAGTATATATATTAGAAGTACTTAGTAAGTTAAAATTAAACAAATAAAAAAATAAAAAAAACAGGAAAGCCACTTTTACTCTTTTTTTAACATCTGACATTGTGTCTATTTTCAGCCACAGAAAGGATTTTAATCAGAATATATAATGACAGAACAAGATATGAACAATAAAAAAAATATGTAAAAAAAAAAATTGATTATTCAACAAATGGAGTTCACTGAAAGTGAAACACAAACACACACACACAGTACATGTACTTAGAACTCTCTCGTGGTTCTTGCTTACCATCCAGTCCGTTGTGCTGTTCATAGGTGCGTTTGCCCAGGATGGTGGGTGAGCCATTGTTGAGGATGGGAGAGGATTTTATGGGCGTCAGACTGCCTGTAGAGATGGACCCTCCGCGAATCGGTGGGTCGGGCTTGGCTGGACGGGGATGTGCTTCTGCAACGTGAACAAAAGTTGTGTGAAAAACTGGTTTAACAGCAGAAATGCCAACAAAGCGCGAGAAGCAACTCAACTTCAGTCTTCATTAGCGACACAGTAGCCGTGTTTTCATACGATTGTGAACTGAGTGGAAGCAAACTTTTAAAATGTTGCCAACAATTAAAAAGACGCAAAACAGGCTTTCCATTAAAGGCTCCAGAGCGAGAAAACTTGGCTGCGTGGTGTCGACATAGGGTGGCAGTATAGGCTACGTAACGCATGGCTGTAATTAACAGAGTAGAAGAAGCCAAAAACTAAATCCGACTGCCAAAAAACCTCAAAGAAGAAGAAACAAATACAATCTTGGCCATCAACAAGAGAGGAAAAGATGAAGAGAAGTTTTCAGAAAATGCTTTTTGATCAGGAAAGTTGTAATTATTCTCTCATGTCAGCTGATATTGGAAATCTTTTATGTTGTCCAGAGGCAAAGACAATGAAAGAAGCAGAAACAGCTGATCATGTGAGTTAAATGTTGGCGACATCAGCACTTATTTGAAAAAAGTGTTTCCATCAGTCATTATGGACGAGCAGGAAATTGGATACGTTTGTTCGTATTGTGCTGTTTCCATGAACTTCTTCAAATAGGACACTTCAAAACGCGTATAAATAACGTTGTGGAAACTAGACTCTCATTTGTAAAGCTGAACAAAAACAGATTTGTTCTGCTGTCATACCGATGTCAGGAAATTTAGAAATACAAATCTGTAACAATGAGGTAAATTTCTCACAGATCTCACATTGATTTTACTTAAAACAAATGCTGTATCTGAGGTCATCCATAAACATACAGGAACTACAAACCGATCTGCGATTTTCCTTCATTTTCATGTGTGAAATATGGTGCAACCTGCATTTGCTATCACTCTGTAGGCAGTTCTTGAAAAAGGTTTTTGTACAACTGGCCCCAAGTCTTTGAGACTATAAAACCCCAGGGCCAGTTCTACCAAAAAGTCAAAAAAAAAGAAAAAAAAGGTGAAGATTTCAACATGAACAGAAGACTGTTACACTTGCCTACATGTTTCTAAAGGTGCCAAAAATATAGCTTCACTCCCTCCAACACAGACGAGCAATACATTTCTTTGTTCATTTTACAAAGCGTCACAATATAGAATCGACTAAACCACATTCAGTTAACAGTGACTGCAAACAGAAACTCTGAACGTGAACCCGGTCCCAGATTCATTGAGCTGCTTCTTACCTAAATACCGAACCACAGACTCCAGAGGTTTACGGTCCACAGGCTTCAATGGCAAAGGCTTTTTTGGCCTATCTGGTAACCGCAGGGCGCCTGTTGTAATTCAGAGACAGAATACAGTCATTAATAATGTATTGGATGAAAAAAAAAAATAGCTCACAGTAATAACAAAAAATCTTAAAAAATTCAAAATATGACCAACTTGAATGCTGTGTGCAAACAAGCAGATGCCGTGATCATGTGATACTGTTGTAAAGAGTCGATGTTAAAAGCTGTATGGAGGGGGAATCAGGTCCTTACATTCTGCTTTGATGGCTGCTGTGTTGACAGGGAGGTAGGGGTGCCTGGCCAAATATCGAGGCCTGATGATGTCCTGGCAGATGCGACGTGCCATCCGCGTCAGGCCGGTGGTCTGCAGGTAGAAAGCCTGTCGGGTCTTTACTGCAAACTTGGGGCTGCCGCTGTGCCGCAGGGGCAGGCCGTGGGGGCTCTGGAGGTCCAAACAGATGAACATCTTAATGTGATGTGGAGTAATCTGCATTGGTGGACTGTGCATTAACGGCTTAATGGTCGCTGACAGGTCAAATAATCACCTGCGTGATGGCAAAGAAAACATTTGGAGTAAATCTGAAATGGATTAAATTACTTGGCATTATTATTATTGGTCGGAAATATGGAGCTGCCTGGAATGCTTCCCAAAATGCACCATCCATTTAACACACTGGCCGGGCTAATGTGGAATACCAAAGTCGTTTAATAGCTCACGATTTACTTGCGTTCGGCGCTGAACAATATGCACTCTTCATCCGGCTGGCAAACATTCAGACTTTTCGACACGCCACATGAATGGGTGATACCAGATTTACAGTACTTCATTGTTACCGTGCTGAATGGATGGACAGTTGTGAGCACTGCTGGCCAACATTAATGTCCAAATGAATTCAAGGTTATGCATATAAAGCAGAATGTAAAACTTCATTATATATGGAATTTTTGAAAGCAATGAATAAGTGTGTGTCTAAGACATATTACATTAACAGCACTCTAGTTTTTTTTTTGTTGCTTTTGTAAGGCTATAACAAAAATGTCCAAGTTGCCATTCATTAATAATTGTTTTGAAACAAAATACGCTTCTCAGATTTGCTGCTTTCCTTTGCTGTATTTGATATCACAAATAATGTATTTGGGTGTAGGACTACTGATTAGCTTTACGAAAGCAACTATTAAATATAAAATCTGGGAATTTTGCACTATTTTAAAGGATTTAAAATAATTCATTTGTTCACTAAGGACGTAGTTCGTGGATTAATTGATACTGAAATTAACTGATTGTAGCTCTAATTTTATCTATCCTAAAATGTTTTTATAACGCCCCATCTCCCCAGCTCTTTTAGCCCTGCACAAAAAATTCCTCTGTACTGAACTGCGTGTGCGTGTACATATGGCAATAAAGTTCTTGAATTGACTTAAACACTGGTTTAGTAGAAAGGCCTTTTCTCTTGAAGGTTAACTGTTCTTGAACTATTAAGGATAACATCAGGCTTTAGGTAAACAGTGAGGCTTTTGTTTGGGGATTGCAGAATAAATAAACTCAATGTCCAATGAAGCGTTTGTGTGTTTAGGAGTGCTGGCTGGTACCATGCTGCTGCGGTTGGGTCCAGGCCTCTCGCCATCCAGTCTTGTGGGCATCTTCAGGCCTCCGTACTTCTTCCAGTAGGTCCAGCATGAAGCGCACAGGCGACACTGCATGTTGGGAGGTCCCCACGAGTACCACTGGTAGGAGCTGCTGGCTGCACACACATCACAAAAAAGAAGAAAGTGAGCTCGAGTCTTGGAGGAATAAACATACGCACACATACAACAATGAACAAATGAGAGAAACTTTAATCATTCATCAGTAAATTAAGTAAAGCCAGTAAATTAATTCAGAAAATACACTGCTGGAGGGCACATGATGCTATTTCCTCTTCTCTCCATTATGTAAATCCAATATCAAATGTGTACCACACACAGAGAGTATGAAGTGGATCTGTGCACCTTAAATGATCCGTATTGAAATGAAAATATACCTCGCCTGAAGACAAAGACGACCATTTCGAAGATTTACTGAACAACATCAGTTAGATAACAACAACTCAGTGTTAAGTTGTTGAATATTTTATTGCATGTTAGCTGAGATAAGATCAGCAAAATCAGTACAAAAGGATGCTGTACTCGTGAATACTAGACCAGAAGTACACGCTGTACTGGAGAATTCTGAAGAACCACTGCATTTGCCAATAGTAATGTGAATAAGCTTTGAAAAGCACTAAATTACATTTGAAACCTTGAGTACTCACATATTAAGCTGGTTAAAATAAAAAACACTCAAAACTTTCAACTTCTTGAAATTTTCTAAAGTGTGAAGCATAGACAGTAAATGTATGAGGACAATATCGTTGAATCTACCTTTCTCTAACATTGTAAATGTCAATATAGCCCATTACACAACACTGCCATTGTCATTAAACTGTATTTATGCAATGTTTGTGTTTTCTCTAATGTATTATAAGATCTCAGATTGCACCTTGGAGCAAAAGGAAGCTTATGAATTAATACATTTACATGTAATTCAGTTCTTAAAAGGGCATTTAAATGTTCAACTTTTTAAAGTTCTGCTTTCCATTGAAGTATTTACAGCATCTTCAACATCCAACAACCTCTTTCAAAGAAGATTTCACCTGTGAATGCCAAAGTTATTATTCTAGTTTCATTGTTAAATCAAGTCTTTACTTGTGAATTTTTGTTTCAGGACACAGAGAGACAGCAGCGATTGCTGTTACATGACAGCAGTGTTACACAAGTGAACAACTTACTGTAGCAGCTTTCACAGGCTCTGCCCAGGCCAGGGGTCGGCACTGAGCCTGGAGGTCCTGGAGGTCCTGGAGGTCCTGGGACCCCTGCACCCGCTGCTCCATTTACAAGAGCTGGCTTTACATTGTTACTCAGCTGGTTGGGGTTTGGCTTGTTACTGGAAGGACACACGAACAGAGACAGGGTCAGACCAGCAGAGATAAGACAGGCCAACTCAGTGTACATTCACTAAGAGAATAGATAACATTCATCAGCCTGCTGCCAGAGACAGCAGTTATACTGATACTGTACTGAGAGCTGCCATGAATACTAATACAGTGAAGGAAGGGTTTGTGCTTTACAAACAGTGACAAATGTCCGACTTGAGATGTTGCTGTAACCTTTTCAGCAACATTAACCTATTTAATATTTCATAGCGTACTAAAATGAAAGAGGGCTGACGAATTACACAATATTTCACATTAAAAAAAAAAAAAAGCCTGCACTGATATACTCACTAGTTGGGGATGTAGACCTGCTTCAACTTGCTTTCTGCCTCAGCTGCTTTTAATCGTTTCTGGAGCAGAGTCAGAGGTTGAAGAGGAGGATGAAAGGAGAGAAAGAACACTGTGTAAGATTTAGTTAGTTCATAACCCTCATACAGCACCAGTGTGAAAAAATAAACAGGTTCTCATGCATCTCTTTGATTTGCAGTCAGGTTCATCAGATAACAGTCATACATCGATATCTGACACAATTTTTAACAAGGCATTTATGAATATTTTAACTATCATTTTAAATTCAAATTACTCTGTTGTTTTTAAACAACAGTCATAAAACCACAAAAGGTTGAGAATCTTTACAGTAAAGTGGCAATCAATGAAGATAAACAACACTCCTTTGGTCACTAGATTTGTAAATCAGATGCTAATTTTTAAAATGAAGTGTTAGTTAATGGGTCATAAAAAGTAAATCAATAACATTAAGAAACTTTTTTTCTTCAATCGCTGATGTATAATGGAAGTTGTTACCTGTTGTACGTATCTATCTGTGGTCTTCCACATGTAGTAATACTCAATAATACTCGTCAGGGACTTCCAGGGCAACTACAGGAGGAGAGAAAAGACAAAATTAGCATTATTTTAGTGTAGGGGTTTATTAAAGTCGTGGGAGCAGATTTCTGACTAACAGGCTGTCGGTCACAATCACCAGGTGGTGAGGAAAATCTTGATGAAGGACTGGAACATGAAATTAGAGTTGAAAATATTTGCGCTTTACTTATGTAAGATTTGATTACCTGTGTTCATTGGTTGTGAAAATAAGGTCAAGTTACAGGTTTTCAAATGGAATGATTTGCTGCGTTTATCTATTGTCACATTTTTGCAATTTTTTGTCATTTTAAAAGCTAAACACATGTTCAGCAGCAACAACAACAACAACAACAACAAAATTACAGATTAATTCATAGTGAAAACAATAGTTTGGTGCAGCTCTACATTAAATATTGCTTGTGCACTCTTAAGAGTCACGGTGCCCTTGCAGGAACATTTTCAGTGCAGCTGCTACGGTATGATTTTACATGACTTAACTAGATGAAGCACTCTGATTAAAAAAAATGAGGTAAAAGCATGAACTGAAGCTACTAAAGTTGAAGTGTTAGGCTCCCAGTGAGAAGTTTGAACGGAAAATCAGCTGTCAAGTGGTGGCCCCACCCATAATGGTGGTGTAGTCCTGTTGTTTGAGAAAAGGCCTGAGTGGAAACGAGAATGAGCAGCACTGACAGCAGCCAGCCACCAGGTGGTGGAGTGATGCATTCAGTGAGAGCTGAGCACAATGTGAGGTAGGAAAAGTCCACTAACGGCAGCAGCGTTCTTCAGGCTGAAAGCACAGAGGACCGTGAGGAGCTACAGCAGAGAGCCAGCTTAAATAAATAACCCTCTTTCTTAAAAATGCTTCATGAGGTAAACGTTCAGTGTGCCTTGTGTTCACATTTTCACTCTTTACCACGAGGCTGCCGGTCGTCTTGGTTCACAAAACTACTATTGTGCTTGTAAGTTGTATAAAAGCTAAATCAGCTAAACGCCTAAATTGAGTCTACTACACATGTTCAGCTCGGATTCTGTTGTACCGGCTGTCTGAAGCAGAAACTATGAGTGCATGGAGCAGAGAACATCTCTAAGTAAAATTTTGGGCAACCCATGTTCTAAATAATGTTTTCCTTTCATACCTACACTACAGTATTTGATTACACAAACAGGCCTTCGACAACGTATTTTAAAAGCGCCCAACCCCACAGAGACATAATGTTCAAAATAGACCTCTAATGTCCTAAAGGCTTACAGACTGATACCACTCTTTTAACCTGCGTTTTGGCACAGGTAAAAAGCTGCAAATAAATCCAGTTCTTTTTTTCCCCCCAATTCATCTAGTTCGATAATCATGATCACCTTCTGAAGCAACTAAATAATTAATAGGCAGCACTGAAATTAGATTTTTAATGACTTTTCTGATATTATTAAGGAAATTCCTTGAACCAACCCTGTCTCTATTGTGTACTTTCTAGAAATTTGTTATTTACAAGTTGCATTGTGACTGTAAAAACAACAGGCGATTTCTTGCAATTTCTGTGGCTCTTTGTCACTTTGAGGTTATCAGACAAGCAAGTTTGCAAATTTCCAGTCTGCTGTTGGCCAAGCTAAGCAGGCCCCGGCTGTATGCTCCTATATAATGGACAGATATGAGTGTGTCGTTTATTTCCAATCAAACCTGTGGCAAGAAAGCAAATAAGCATACTTCCGAAAATGTCAACCTGCTTTTTTAAACGCACTCCTTGTTTTTTTTATTTACTCACAAAATCCTGCTGGATATCAGTGAAGTCTTTGCCGTATTTCTCGAGCGCCTCCTCGAACAGGTTGGCCTCTGAGGCGCTCCACTCCTCCATTTCATCCCTGCAGAGGACGGGCCCACCCTGAGGCACCAGCGCTGCAATGGCTCGAGTCATGTCATAGCCTGTAGCATGGAGGGTGTCCATAGCATGAAACTAAACACAAGATAGAGATCCAGGTTAGTGTGTTAGCTAGGCCGTTGTTTAAACCAATTATGCAATTCATTTATAGCAGTCTTCAGCTGATGCTTCAGACTAGTAGACAATATAGTATTTGTTCAGTCTATGGTGTTTAGATGCAACCCCTTGTGCGATGCTTTGGGCTGTGTTTGTGTGTGTGCATGTGGGTAGCTAGAAGGCCTCTCATCTATGTTTTATATATGAGGATAAGATCTAGGGCAGAATAGACCCGCACCAGGTTTCTGGGGCCACAAGCTTGTTAAGGATAACCAGACACAGGCTTCAACAATCACTAACAGACTCACAAGCATACACACATAAACACACATGTGCACTACAGGCATTTTCTTTGATTAACAGCTCTGCTTCTCTACTAGGCTTTTCACATACAGTGTGATGCTGATTTAACCCAAAGCCCACTTTCATGTATAACTCACCAAGGTGATGTCTCTGGAGGCTGCAGCAGCACTCATATGGAGGCTGGGCTGCCGGACAGAACTACTGCAGTCCAAAGCTCTGGCGAATGTACCTACGGACCTAAGGGATAGAGACGTGGTGTGAAAGGCAAAGAAAAAAAAATACATACAAAAAAAACTGGGAAATAAACAGTGAGTTCGACATGCGGTTACGTTTCAGACCAATTTCTGCAGGAAAAATTGAAATCAGCAAAGTCATAGCTCTGGTGCTTCCTGATAAAATATTCAATTATGTAGCATGGCCGGGCAAATAATACAAGTCTTGCAAATTAGCACTGAGCAGGCTAAAACTGCTAAGCAACCATATCTGGCTCCAAAACTAGAAAGGAGCAGATGTGAAGGAAAGTTTGAGGTAGCTGTGGTGAATCCCTTTTTCTCTCTCCTGCTGAGAATTAGATTAGAAAATTGATATTGCTGTAATAACTGTCCAGTATATGTGAGGCTAATTAGCTTAGCTTAGCATAAAGAGTGTATTTGTATGTGTCCCAGCTTGAGTTTTTAGGAGAGGTTGTTGTATAAGCTTTAAACGTCCTGCCAAGCCTGCATACGCTCTTGTTCACCTTGGATTCATGAATATCAAAAGTGTGTGTAATTTTTACAATAACTGTGTTTTTCATTATGCAAATGAATAAATAAATCTGATTTGTCTGATCGGTACAAAAGCCACAGTGTATGAAAAACAAGTAAAGGCTGGAGGTTTAACAGGAAGGGGCTTTTTCAGTCTTGTTATCACCATGAAACTAACTCCAGGGAGCCACAGCTCGCAGATTGTATGGATCAGACTCACAAGATGCAATGCGTTTATAAGTGAGCCAGGCTCGTGGTTTTCACCTGTTTCTATGAGTAGCACTAAGCCATGGTAATATTCACCTGTCAACTGGTTCAAATGAGCATTAGGTTTAAGAATGGTATCAACTAACGCTCCGAAAGTGAGGGATATATATATGTTTGATGCAACTGTTCTCTCTTATTGTTATTTAAATGGTTTTACATGTTTGTTTACTTACCGAGCTACTACTAAAAACTGGTCGATCTGTTTCTCTGTCAGTGAGCTGTTGGGGTCCCAGATCTTCTCCTCTAGTTTCTCCAGGTCTCTGCCATCTTCCTCATCTGAACAGAACCAGAAGGCGCACAGATACGTTAGCAGGTAATTCTCTGAGACCACCATGGTTCCTCATGGCCCGCATGTGTCCAACAAGAGTTTGTAAAAACCACAATTAAATTTGGTTTTCTTCCTGATTTTCCTTTTTTAAAATTACTGCGTTGTGTAAAGCTTTAATGAATCCCAGAGCTGAAGAGGTGGGGTCTGTCAAGCTGCCAGCCTGCAACCAACCAGCCAACCTGCCTGAGCTTCTAACACATGTAGAAGAATTTCATTAACATGGGTTTAATTAGGGAGCTTAGTGTCCCACAGTGCTTTAATTGCAATTTCAGAGGTTTTCCCACCTGCTAAGAATAAAATTCTGGCAAAACACAGAAACCCTAAATCTGGCAGAAAAGCAGTCACATTTGAAAATGATTATCTGCACAAACTATTGGCACAAAATGTCTGGAAAATATCTTTCAGACTGTTTGAATGAAAATAATTTCAATATTACACACAAGGTGCAAGGTCAAAAAACTTTGTGAAGATGTAATGACAAAACTGATTAGGAGCGAGATTTCTGTTCCGCTTTGGATGCGGCTTTACAGTTTGGCCAAAAAACTAAACAACTGTCACGTGGCAAGTTCCAGGTATTAATGCACATCTATATGCTTAGAATTGTTTTTGTACAGGTAGAATTATATCCAGTTGTGAGCGTATCAGTAATCTGGTATGAGGAGGAAATGGGAGCTCTTGTTGTGTAGAAACAGGAAACTTTGTTGATGTTGGGCATGGAACATGTTATGAACGTCGCCGCTGCCAACAAAGCAGTTGTCTTCTTGTTAAGTAACGTAATAATAATGGCCCCTTCCTTACCACACTCTGTGGGTGACTGTAAAGTCATCACTTGTGCAGCACACAGGCAATAATCTGTTATTTTAAATGCTCTGATTATGTATAATCATGCAGCCACACTGTGATCGCCATGGAAACCCAGGTTAGTTGTTCTTTTATAACTTTACTTGTTAAAAAAGAAAAAAAAGTAAATGGTGGCTTGGGGCAGGAAATTCACAAAAGTTCATGAAATGTTCCTAAGAGTTGAGCTGTTACAAAAACATGAAAAGTTTAAAAGTTACAGCTCAGACTGCTCCATTAATGCAGAAATATTGCTAAAAAATAATCAGTACACAGCAGGGTAAAAAAAGTTCCCTGCAGGAAGATGATAATGTGCTTTTCTGTGAATATGCTGTTTTCAAAAACCATGTCAATTAAAACAGCCGAGATTTCAGCATGATGTACCTTCTTTCAGGAGGTCGGTGATGTCGGCCTGGTACTTGTTCCCGACGCGGATCTCCCCCTTATCAGCCAGCAGGGTTTTTTGCTGAGGGTCATACACCAGCGAGTAGAAGAAGGCGTCCTGGGAAATAGAGATGGCAGGAAGGCGTGAGGATGGAATGAAAGGAACAGGAAGAGAGACGGGCAAGCGGAGGAGCAAAAGAGTGAGGTGGATCTGAGTTTGTGCGTGTTTGTGTGTGCGTATTTTCCCCTCAACTAGTCTCCCGTCTCCTCATTACTGTACGTGAAAAGAACATTCTGGGTCAACACGTTGAATAATTCATCTGGAAACAAGAATCTTTAAACTCATAAGGCTCTCTAACACACTCACACACAGATGCTTGGATAAGACCTGAAATCTAACACACCTAATCACAGTTTAGTAGACCCCACCATGTTACTGGGTTAAAACACCTGGTAAGCACACGTACCTCTCTGTCCAAGTAGGACTTCAGGGCTTCTGTCTCATTCAGCAGTGTCACACAGCACTTTCCTCTGTAGGAAAAGAAGGTGAGGAAGGCGTGAAAGACAGAAGGAAAGGAGGACAGGAGATGGACAAGCAGAAGATAGGAGGAAAAAGACACAGAGGAGGCAAGAAAGACTGAATATTTATCATCAGAAACACAAAATAACAGACAAGTCCATGGGATAACTGGTTACATAAGTGTGAGATGAAAGCTGCTACCCTGGCCCAAACTCCTCTGCAAGAGAAGATATTTGTTGTAGGATGCAGCTCAGAATCTGAAATGATGATATTGATTTAGTTCCAGTTGGCTCGGCCTGTTATTTGACAAATCATGGTCCAGTGTATTGACACTGACAGCACTCATCTCCGTACCCTAACTGCTACTGTCTGAATTTAGATTATTTACTGGCTAATTAGTCATACCTCTGTAGCCTGAAGCAAATACGATCTGGCAGGGTGATAAACTCAGACGCCTTGTGTACCCCCGCTGCACATTGGTGTTAGGTTAGAAAACTTAATCAAGCTTGAATTCTCACTCAACAAACTGCTCATCAGTGTATTTTTATTCGAGCAGATGTCAGTTTGCGCTTCCTGCGACACATCAGAAATGTCAAGTAATAATGCGGTAATGATTAGGTGGGTTTGCCTGGAGCTTGCTGATGAGCAAAGGCAGGTCTATATGTAGAAACAGCGTTGTGCTGACATTTAGTGCTCAGTGTGCACACTGCATACGAGTGGATTTTTTTTGTGTGTGTGCCTGCTTTTGTTAGACTTTACTTTCTAGCATCTTTTAGTCATCACAGCTTCATGTGTGGCAGACAATGTGAGTGAAGGAATCGATAAATAATTCACTCTCCAAATTAGTCAGACAATTGCAGTTTTTGAAGCCACATGAACACAGGGTAGAAATTTGCCTCATATACATTACGTCTAATAAAACAGCATAAATCACTTTATGCAAAGTATGCAATCCTGAAGGTAAAAATAGTCTGAGCAGAGTCCACCATCCCTGTTCTGGATTCAGATTGCCCACCTAAGCACGAGGGACTCACCGGCACCGAAGCTGTAATCCAGCTTAATTGATCTCATTGACGTCCTCCTTACAGTTTACTTTCTTTCCACACTGCTTTATTAAGTCACTGCTGATCCAAACCACACCACCATTCCCACTAAAAGCACAACTTGGAATGGATTTCACTCTGACGCTGCCAGCTTGTTCTGACTGCAATCATTCAATGCAACCATGCAATTCATTTAATCATCAAAAACAGGTCAACAAAGCAAAAGCGTTACTGTCAATTTTCCCCCTCATGAGCAAAACTGCAAGTTCACATTTTACCTTAACAGTCAGGAATAGCAAACTTTTTTTATTTTTTTAAACGAGTGAAACAGAACATTGTTGTCTGCTTTATTCAGTGTTGTTATGACTTTACTGCCCCCTTACTTCCTTTGAAAATTCTACCAGAAATGTTCTTTTTGTTTTGAGAAAATTGGGATTTGTTGACTCAACTGTAACCCAGAAGAAGTTAGACAAAAACATTTGGTGAATGCTGCTCTGTACACAGTCCAGAACAGGTATCTGAATTCAGAATCGTGTAGTAAGTGGGTGGAACTCACTGAAAACCCAAAACCTGCTGGCAAGTGTAAAAGGTATGCCATCATTAAAAAAAAAAAAAAATACAAAGCACTATAAATACAGAATTTATCAAAGCCATAAATTGTAAAAACAGAAAGAATCCAGACAGTTGAGTTTTGAACTAGTCAACTGTGAAGTGTTTTTCTATCAGACAACTTGACTAAATCTAAGCTTACAGTGGAGCTATTTCATCAGAATCACTGTTTTTCTACATCTCTCATTTTAAAAATATGCCAAAAATAAACCACTTGCACTAAACAGATTCTATAAAAGAAAAATAATAATCCTCAGCACAACCCAGTAGCCATTAATGACTCAGCCACCACCAACAGTTACAAAAATTCAGGGACTTTTTGGCAGCACTGCAAGCCGTGTTTACACAGAGCATGTAAGTGTGGAAACAAATTAAAACTGTCATTAGGAAATTATCTATAGTATGTAGAGTCACCATTTTTTCCTAGTATTTGTACGCCATGTGGGCACTCTGAAAAATGTTGAAAATGTTTATTTATTTTACAATCATTGGCAAAAATCTGGAACAATCAAAGAAGATCACTTTTGAGCTCTCTCTACTTCCAGTCATGGTTGTGCTGTTTCCGTAGACTTGCAGGACTTAATACTGCAGTAAAAAAAAATGAGCCCATGTGACGGGAGTAATAAAAAACTGCTAGGGTTTTAGAGGGTCAACAGTTACAAAACAAAGTTCCAAAAAAGAAGGAAAAGATCAACTAAAAAGAAGACAAGTGAAATAGATAATTCAGTGTGAGGACACCAGTGAGGTTGCAGCGTCGTGTACCTGATGTGTGTGGCTGGTAAGGACTCCAGCTGACGGGAAAGGAACAGCTCTCTGTGTCTGAGCTGGTGTTTCTGTTTCTCGGGGAGATCCGCCATCTCTGGGTTCTCCATCTCCTCCTCCAGCTCCCCTAGGTGGCAAAAAGGGGTAAAAGGTCAAACATACGCACATCAGATGAGGCGGAACAATGGGGGAAAACGGTGGGAATGCAAATGTTTCTGCTGCAGCCACACACTCAGTCTCAGGTGCACAACAAGCTGACATAAAACACAAGGATGCCTACTTGATGAGCCGGAACAATGAAGTCCCAGAGGAGACGGAGGGTTGTGTACATACACAGGTATTTTACATAAAATCTCACTGATTTACCCGAGACATGTTGTATAAATCGAACAAGATCTGCTAAGGTTGTCATTTCCAATTCTGTATTTCTACCCTTGTTACTTCAGCAGCACCTGCGATATCGCCATGTTTCACATTCCTCTTTGTACCATTAGGATTTCCACCTTTTTAATGCCCTCCCACTGGGTTTTCATTAAATTATTTCAGTACCACATCTTGTATTTTGAGCATTGGAACTGCAATATGAGGCTTAATGCGATGTAAAAAAACACAAAAAAACTCCATCAGTGTGGAGTAGTCTTTGATGTTATCAATATGGGATAACAAAAGGACACACAGCAGGCAGCTCAAATACCAACATTTTTGAAAACTCAGTCTTGAAATCTGAAGTCATCCATAAATGAATAAATACCACAATTTAGTAACTTCTCCCACCAGACTTCATTCCTTGTGGAGGACACAAAAATCCACATAAATCACTGTTTGTACCCTTTATCATGCAGAGAAACTCAGGAAGCTACAACTGACAGACCTGACTGTCAAACATTTGTATTCACACTACTTTGTACTAACTCTCCTGTGTATTATCACGAGAGTAAGATGGAGATGTTTTTCGAAAGAGATGCTGCAATAATTTTTGTTTACATGCAATGATGGTAGAAATGTGGCATCTCAATGCTCGTGAAAAGTGTACAGTAGGGCTAGAACCAATCATTATTTCCATTGTTGGTTAAAATGTTGAATACTTTCTCAACAAATCAGTTGTCTGGTCTGTGAAATAGGGCTGCCAGTGGTTAACACCATTGCCTCGCAGCAAGAAGGTCGCCGGTTCATGTCCCGGTGAGGACACCCGGGATCTTTCTGCGTGAAGTTTGCATGTTCTCCCCGTGCATCGTGGGTTCTCTCCGGGTTCTCCAGCTTTCTCCCACACAGTCCAAAACATGTTGAGGTTAATTGGTGATTCTAAATTGTCCGTAGGTGTGAATGTGAGTGTGCTTGGTTGTCTGTCTCTAAGTGTAGCCCTGTGATAGACTGGTGACCTGTCCAGGGTGTCTCCTGCCTTCACCCTGAGTCAGCTGGGATAGGCTCCAGTCCCCTGCGACCCTAGTGAGGATTAAGCGGTGTATAGATGATGGATGGATGGATGGATGGATGGATGGTCGGTGAAATGCCAGAAAATGGTTAAAAAAAAAAACAATAAATAAATAAATAAATAAAATGTTGATCAGAATTTCCCAAACCCAAAGATGTTTCTTAAATGTCACTGTCTTGTCCACAAATCGAAAAGTTCAGTTTACTGTTAACACAAAACAGTTAATCAATTAACAAAATAGCTGGTGATTAATGCAACAGTTTAACAAATCAGTTTAACTGTTGGAGGTCTAGTGTACAGAAAGATCAAAATTATATGTGATGAACCTTACGTTTAAAGGACCAGTGTGCAGGATTTAGGGAGATCTGTTTGAAAAAATGTCTCATGGATATGCATAATCACCAAAAATAAGAATAATTGCTTTTGTTTCCACAGAATGAACCCATAATATCTACATAGGGAGCAGGTCCTCTTAAAAAAAAGTCTGCATTAGAATGGACAAACCGACACTTTGGTGCATTTTGCAGGACCACTGTAGTTACTCCTACACACTTGGAAGGGAAGGGCGAGGCAATAGCTGTTCAGTTGGTTGCAATCTGCCAACCATACCACTAGTTGCCACAAAATCCTACACACTGGAACGTTAGGATTAAAAAAAAATTGGGTTGGGCTAAGAGAAACATTTAGGAATTCTATGGATATACTGGATTATTGTTGTCACCGTGAAAACGAAGTACAACAGTGTGTGTTTGTTCGGGCCGAACACTCAATTTCAAATCAAAATCACAATTTGATACAATGCAAATACACAACTACAATTTAAGATATGCAAGGTGTGGCCACTAAAGTAAAATTAATGCTGTAGTTCAATTTTATTATTCTGAGATTATCACAATTTTAAGGGGTTGCTTTCTTTACCCATTTATAAATGTATCCTACAAGGTTCAGGCATGCACGCTGAGTTTTGACTAAAACTGAGTTACAATATTTTACAGCCTCACCTCGTACATTTTGCTGCACATTTGACCCGAAGCTTTAACTGTCTGCTCGATGTTTCCACAATTCTTGCATTCTCCTTTCTGTGACAGACATATTTTTGATGGTGTCTCATGAGGTATTGCTCCATAAGGTTTAAAATGTATTGCACAGTGAATGCTAAACTGATGCTTGACTTTAAAAAACTATACTGCAAATCAATATCTGTCAGGAAATAGCAAATAGATGTGTTTTTAAAATCCTGGAGGCCTAGTGTTCGGGGGAAATAGTCACTATTTTGATTTTGTACTGCACTTTAATAAAGATGGGGAAGTCAAATTCATAAAGAATGGTTACAAATAAGTGCATTTAGCTTTTAAATATCCTATTTTTTTTAAACTCGTAGAATAAGTCAACCTAAAAAACCCCCCCCAAAAAACACAACAACTACGATTCCCATAACATAACTTACAAGACGAGTGATAACACCATCAGTGGTATTTTCTCTGACTTGACAGAACTCCTCAAGCGCTGCCGAAGACATTATACGAGTGTATTCGCGGCAGAGTAGTACATCGATTGACTAGTAAACTGACCTTTATGTGTAAAACTGATGGAGTTTCTCTTTAGTCTTGAGTGGTGGATTGAGCTAATTTCTCTCAAGTCAGAAGCTGATCTCAAATATTTTTCTTCTATTACTGTAAGTGCCTGGTTCCTTGAATGAGAAGAAAAATCTTGAAGAATCACTGCACGGTTTACATCTAGGAAAAGCAAGACTCGAAGGCACTGGGTGAAAAAACAGTCCTTGAGATGGGATCCAAGAATGAACGGACAGAGCGAGTGTCGAAGGGATATCAGCCCATTTGAGGAGGTCATGGTGTCTGAGTCATTCCTTAAGAACAGATTTAGCTGCTGCTGGTACGCAACATCTCTACCGCCAAGTCCTTTCCTCATCTGTGGATGAGGAGAGGGGAGGAAATGAAAGTGGGGGACACAGGGGGAGAAGAGGAAAGAGAGGAAGGTGAGATAGACGGGCAAATAGATAAACAGAGAGACTCGCAAAGGCTGGAAAGTGTGACAAAAGTGATCAAGAGAAAGGGAGCATGAGATGAAGACGGAGAGGCATAAAGACAGCGAGAAAGAGAGAGGGTGAGGAGGAAGGGGAGCAATAGAGAAATCAGCATGGCGAGTGGGAGAAAGAGAGACAAAGACGGGCAGGGAGAGAGAGCGGAAGGAGGCCGGTGAGAGAGCAGAAGTGAAACGAAGAGCGAGAGAGAGCAGTCAGTACGTGCTCCAATTCATTTGGAGTTTCATTAGAGGAAGCGAGACAGAAAGAGGGAGACGGGGAGCTGAACAAAAGCAATCAAGGGATTTTCAGGAGAAGAGATGTGTGGCCAAAATCAATAAGTACTCCTTCACTCCCTCACTCTGCCCAGCACTCAGCACCCAGCAGACACACTATCAATGCCCAGGCAGAGCAGCACACACACGCAGTTAGGGCTTCACTCCATCTTCTTCCATGTTGCAAAATATGAACCAAGACCCATCCAAGAAAATACGACAATAAACGGAGAGAGGAATTAAGTGTACAATACATGTGGAACATGACTAGAACATTTGTTCCGTCTGCCTAATTCTAACACTTTGTGCATGTACACGCTTTGCATCTGAGGTATCACCTGTACTGATTTTCCCAGCGGTTAACCAGCCAGGTGGCTCACAAGGAGCTCAAAACTGTAAATGCAAGAAGGTGATTCCAGCTCCCCATAATCAGGCTCTATTTGATCTGCTTGTTCAATATTTATGCATCAACACCATGATGGAAAACTGTGAAAACACTGTTATCTTTAATAGGTCCTGAGATATTGTCATTCACACATAGCCTCAAAATTCAATGCGTACAAAAAGTGGGGTCGATAAGCAATTTTTAAAAAATATCTCTGAAATTAGTTTATATATCTAGCTAAAACGTCCACAGATATCTTTATCAACATCCATAATCTATGCTGTAAAAAAAAAATTCTTGCATATCAGAAACTGTCAAGCAGAAACTGTTCGAAACATCTGATGATTTGAGATGAGATGACCCAGGGAGAGTTTCCCTACAGCAATGGATTTTTAAAATAAAATTACTACATCAAATTCAAATTGTATGAGAGGTGTGTTAAATACTGGCAAAATAATCTTCAACAGTCAGAGAGAAGTAGTCGTGTGCCATATGCAAGATTTACTAGTTTGCTACTTTTTGGACCGGAAATCAGTTGAAATGTTTTATGAAACAAAAACCAAACCAAACAAAAAAAGGTCATCAGAGGTAGAAGGCACTGGCCTTTATGTATTAACACTGTGCCACGCTGCTCTGATACATCGATGCAAAGTGAACTTATAATTTGATGGATCACTCACTTGTCTGCTGAGCTGACCCAGACAGATCTTGACACACTGTTATTCATGTATTTGCTAGACTATTTTGTTAGGTTTGTTTTCTTTTACAGACTGCAAATTGTCGGGATTCGGCATAAAATAAAGACAGAGGAGTAAAAGGCAGCAAAGGTTGCAAACTGAAGATGCTGCGCTTGATGGTTGAAGCTTTAACCCCTTGATCAGCTCAGTCATAGCTAGCCTGAAAATGTACACGCCAACGATCAAATGAGAGAGATGTTCTCAAATGGAAGCATAAATAGGGTCAACAGGATATTATTTAATGTCAACAAAAGACC